AGATTCTATGCGAGTCAACTTTCACTGTGATCCAGTGGAAGTCACCGCGTTTGCCTTCAGCCTGCTGAAGCGCGTTGAACTGTTGAACGGTTGAACTGTCGTCATGTATTTATATTAATACAAATATGTCTCTCGCTGAAACGTCTACTGCCCTTGTTAATGTGACTCGTGCTTTAGAAGACACTTCAAGTTTAACCCGTTTTTTGCCGGTACTTTGTTCATTAACAGACCCCTGTCTTTTCCAATCCAACTACTCGCTTCCCTCTAGTTATAAACAGCCAGGTGGAGGATGCACAGCTCAGCAGGCTGGACCGAGTGGGTGCCATTGTGAGTGAATGGATGGGTTACTGCCTGCTGTACGAGAACATGCTCACGTCAGTGCTGCTGGCACGCGACAAGTACCTCCGGCCTACCAGCGACATCAGCGTAGACGACCTGGCCGCCTGGCGTCGACTGCGCCTCTTCCCCTGTACTGCTAGCCTCTTTGCGGCTGCCTTCACTGAAACCAGCCCAGAAATGGACGGCATTGCAGACAACAGTGGCGAGTTGGACAATGAGGCCTTGGACTGCATCGATGATCCCCAAAAGTACACCCGAAAGAAGGTCTGGTCAGAGCTGTCTGAGCTCTATCAGGTAAACACTTTCGTCTTGCGGCCGCAGAGCAGAGCCCAGTGGGGTTTTTGGGATTAGGGCCACGTTATTTTTTTATTTATTATAATAATATTAATTGCTGGATTTTAATTTCCTTAGAAATTAATCTGTAACTTGGAGAAGATCAGTGCATTCCTGGGTCTTTAGACGAAAAACTCAAAGTTAATGTCAATATTTGGTTGGAACCCCCTCAGCCACTGCGAGATAGGTGTGTAACATTTACAAGCTGCGGTTATCTCTTAGTGGCTGATGGATGTCGGCCCAAATATTCATATTTGAATTTGGATGTGAGCCTATAGGCCCTTGAATATACTTACCTACTCAAAGTTACAAATTTATTTCTGGGAAATTAAAAAACCCAGCAATTTAAAAGCCGTAAGATCTACCAAAAAAAACAGGGAAAATTCTGCGAGACCCACCGCCGAACCGAACCCCTCGCAGTTGTGTCATGCGGTGGCAGAATACCGGCGAAACACATGAACTTTTAGCTATTACCTGTGTTGCCACTATGGTAAATAATTACGTAAGCAGTTATAGTAGTGTTCCTGACAGGGAATTTAATATCCGTGCTATCGTTCGATAGCTTCTCAGTGATAATTGAGAGCATAGTTAACCAATCTCATATGCTACAGTAACCAGG